ACATTGCTTTGCTGGTGTGATTCTCAGGGGAGAGTGCCTATGCATGGAATTTTGGGTCTAGGTCAATATTTAAAAGAAAAGAATCATAAATATTAGTTCTTGGTTTTAAAAAGTATAACCACCTTCGTGTTTTCTCATTTGTGCAATGATAAGAAACATTACTTTTCTAACATTACTTCTCCGTAAATCACAACAGGTTTGTTTTATTTAATAGAATATTTCAGTTTAGGTTTGTTGCACTGAATGATGTTTTCAGTTTTGGTGACAAACAAAAATCACTCTAGAAAACCTGGATTTGAATATTTGTATTTCTATTTTTCTTATATAAAAATAATAAATAATAGCCACAAATAGATTATATGTATTACTTTAACATTTATGCAGTTATTTGCATGAGAAACCATCTTTTTAATTTTCTCTAACGGCCCAGCTGGCTCCAAAAATAACATCTCTGCAGTCTGAACTTACCTCCACTAGCCAGCTTGGGTGTCTATAGACTAGCTGACATAGCAAACATTTGAATTTCTCAGCTGATCATACTTCATTTCAACATTTCCTTATGTAAGTCATGGATAGTTCATGTGTCAGTCTCATATTACATCATTTATTGCTACAGAGCAAAAAAATCAGAAAGCTAAAATACTTAACTATAGTTAAGTTATAGCTAAGTTATAGTTATGGTTAATAGTGAAATATTCACTATGCCTGCTGAGAAATAAAAAGTGCTCTAGATCTGAGGAGGTCCCATCTCCCTTGCTCTGCAGTTGGCTACACCATGAATGATCTGATCTTCGAGTGGCTGGATGAAAGCCCAGTGCAAGTGGCAGATGAACTGATGCTGCCCCAGTTTGTTTTAAAAGAAGAGAAAGATCTTGGCTACTGTACCAAACATTACAACACAGGTAGGACCAGTAAAACACTGAGTTACAAAAACATCTCATAAGAGACATGTTCATTCAGAGCCTCAAACCATCTCAATTGATCTCCAATCACAGGTAAATTCACCTGCATTGAGGTGAAATTCCACCTGGAGCGACAGATGGGCTACTACCTGATACAGATGTACATTCCCAGCCTTCTTATCGTCATCCTGTCCTGGGTGTCATTCTGGATCAACATGGATGCAGCACCAGCTAGGGTGGGCCTTGGCATCACCACGGTGCTCACCATGACAACGCAAAGCTCCGGGTCGCGGGCCTCCCTGCCCAAGGTGAGAAAGGTCCTTTCATTCTGATTGGTCCTCAGCACATTCTTCAAACCACTGGAACAGGAATAACAAAACAGATCAGTATTGATTTTGCTGGCACTCAAGTCTTAATTCTTTACTTTTCCTTTGCATGCTCCATCACAAATGATATGTGAACACAGACAGGCAGTTATCATCCAGTGATCGGTGCCATGCTGTGATTTGTGATTTGGCAGGTGTCATATGTGAAGGCTATTGACATCTGGATGGCGGTTTGCCTGCTGTTCGTCTTCGCCGCCTTACTTGAGTATGCTGCGGTCAACTTTGTTTCACGACAACACAAAGAGTTCATCAGACTAAAGAGGAAGCAGAGGCGACGGAGGATAGTGAGTCTAATTTCATGCAAAATGTTTTTTTCTGGTAATCATCTCTGCTTGTTCTTCTCTGTTTTACAATTCCGCAGGTACGAATACTGAAGTCTGTACTAGATGTCCTATTTGTCGTTTGACAACATGAATGACTTGTATAACTGTGCATGTGTCTCCAACTTCCAACATATATAGCTGCCAGGCCATGTGAGCGTGGTGTGAATTAAAAAAAAATCATTTACTTAGACACCAAGTTAAGAATTATGTTACTTGGTTTAAGGGCTCAGGTTTCACAAATCTATCCTATTCTACAAACTTATTCCTTAGCTGAATAATTACTGCAGTCACTCATAAAAATGATAGGAGACCCACCCTTATCAATAACAGTTGTACTGGTACTTGGCTTCGGCTGTTGGATGATGAAAAACAGCAGCTGCCTGCTGGGATTAATCAATGCCCCCCCCCAGAGTGATCTGAGCCAGCAGATTCTCTTTAGCTGAAGCATCCGTCACTCTCAGTGTACAACCCCGTTTCCAACGACGCTGTGTAAAATGTAAATGAAAACAAAATGCAATGATTTACAAATCATATGAACCATATTAAATTGAAAATAGAAAAAAAGGATGAAGTCATATTGAAACATTTCATGACAAATACATGCTCAATTTGAAGCAAAACGTTTCAAAAAAGCTGAGACAGGAGCAAGTTTTCCACTGTGTTGCATCACCTCTTCTTTGAACAACACTCTGTAAACATTTGGGAACTGAGGAGACCAGTTGCTGGAGTTTGGAAAGTGAAATGTTGTCCCTTTCTTGCCTGATTTAGGCATGCAAGTGCTCAGCAGTTCGGGGTCTCCTTCATGGTGGGGTCTCCTTCATCGTAGGGGTCTCCTTCATGGTGGGGTTTCCTTCATGGTGGGGTTTCCTTCGTCGTGGGGTCTCCTTCATCGTAGGGGTCTCCTTCATCGTGGGGTTTCCTTCGTCGTGGGGTCTCCTTCATCGTGGGGTTTTCCTTCGTCGTGGGGTCTCCGTCGTAGGTTTCAATTCATTGGTTTTCGGCCTTGTCCCTCGCAAACAGAGATTTCTCTGGATTCTCTGAATCTTTTAATGATACCATGTACTGTAGAGGATTCCTAAATTCTTTGCAATATTGTATTGTGTTATGCAATGTTTTGCAATAAAATATCCTTTTGTTTTGCAATTAAAATATCCTTTTTAAAAGCAGTTGAAGCTTATGTGAAATGCATCGCACTAATTTAAGAGAACATGAGAAAGGATCCTGAGGAGTAAGTCACAAGTTTGGATAATTAGAAATTTTGTTAAGAGAAACCACATAAAAAAGAACTTATTATAATTTCTCCTCTTCTAGGAAACCACTTTGCATTCAGCTGGTATGCTTAGACAAGGAATGTAATACACGTTCAGGTCCAAGGGTTACTGTTAGAAGCAGCCTGTGACTCTTGTGATAAATCCATTTAAGTGCATTAAACATTATGTTCTGTTGGATACTTTGAGATCTGTGGCTCAATCATATCATTCCAACACACATTTTTCATCCTAGAGCTCCTTATTAGCAAAACTGGAAATGCTATATGGCCAAATGTACGTGGACACCAGCTTGTCCACCATCCCAGTCCAAAACCAAGGATATTCATATGAAATTGGTCAGCTCACTGTTGCGATAATAGCCTCTGTTCTTCTGAGAAGGCTTTCCATTAGATGCTGGAACATTGCTTGTGGGATTTGCTGCCATTCAGGTCGGGTATTGATGTTGGGTGACCAGGCCCCTTTCTGTGAGCATGTGTAGCTGATTGTTTATTTAATTACACACCTATGTCAGCGATGGGTGTGACTTAAGTAGGCAATTCTTCAAAATGACAAGATGCCGGGGGTGACATGGTGGCGCAGTGATTAGCTCTGTTACCTCCTATCTCTGGGACCGGGGCTTAAATTTCCACCCAGGTTCCATACATGTGGACTTTGCATGTTCTACCCGTGTCGTTGTGGGGTTTACTCCAGGTACTTCCGTTTCCCCCATAGTCCAAAAACATGCTGAGGCTGATTGGAGTTACCCAACAATGTTAATTTTGTCAACAAAAATTTCAATGATAAGTATTCATTGAAAACCTATTATTTCATGACTAAATTGTAATGACGACGTAAACGAAAAAGTGTTTGACAACGAAAATTATGGCAAAATCGTTCATTATGCTCTGATTAGTAAAGACGAGACTAAATTGCTTGCTTTGTTTGGGCAGACAACCTAGATCACAGTAGCCGTCTCAAAGTACAGTATTGGTCGTTATCCTTTACTGACTGGTTGATATCATGTACATGTATAAAGCTGCAAGTGCCCGTACCAGTTCTCCCAGTCTCCATGCATCGTTCTGATTGGATGATTTGTTTTTCCCGTTTGGTTCATGTCTGCCCAAATGGCAGCTTCCAGTATAACTAAAATGACACTAATGTCCCTTTTTCTCATTTGAGCAATTTTACTGTATTATGTACTTTCTGTTTTTAAAGAAGGGTTATTGTAAATTGTGCTGACAGGTTTTGCACACGGTTAAATAGGTGTTTGATAGGTGTTTGACTAATAATGAAAAAATATTACAGTATAATTGGCCATACAGTTCAATTTGATGGGCATTTAATACCCTAATACCAAAAATGAAACAGGGAAAAGTATGTCTTGTTGATGTATGCAGAAAACAAATACGAGCTGTGAAGAATATTTGGTTGCATTGCACTTTTTCTAACAAACTTTAGGCATTCATTTTTATATATGAAAGAAGTACGGTAAGTCATTAACATTCTCATCCTAAATAACTAAGCATCATCGTTATGGGGTGTGCATATGTATAAGGTGTGCTTACTTCTCAAGGGAATTTATACAGCCAGGAGAAATACCCTTCAGCAAAATCCATTTCAGTATCATTAACTTGTCAGAGAAAATTATAACAAAAAACTTGACTAAAATTAGACTATAGTTCCAATGACTAAATATTAACTAAAACAAAACAAAAACAAGTCTAAAATGTGACTTTAATCACTACTATTTTCACTAAGTGACTAAGACTAAAACTAAAAAAAAAATTCTTGCCAAAATTAATTACCAAATTGGCAATTTGTTGCCCTAATAATAGCTGCCCTAAGCCTAACCCTAAACCTAACTCTAATCCTAACCCTAACCTTAACCCTAATTACCACTGTTACCAAATTGTCTGTAGGTATGCATGTGTAAGTGAATGGTGTGCAAGTGTGAGTGTGCACTGTGACAGGTTGGTACCCCATCCTGGCTTGTTCCCAGCCTTAGAGCCCATAGAGCCCAGACCCCTCTAAACCCTGAATAAGACAAGTGGTTACAGAAAATGGATGGATACGGTACCCACATATTTCTGGCCGCACAGTGTAATTAGTGATTGTGTACTTTGAAAAACTTGTTGAAACTGTACCAGAAATACACAAGAAAGGGTAAAAAAAAAAAAAAAAAATTGCTTAAATTGAAGAAATAATCCCTCAACAAATCCATAAGCACAATAATTTTTCATCATGCCTCTGGTTGACTGATCCATGCAACAAGTGTGACCTGTGACTTTTCCAGAATGTTCCTTCACTAATTATATGTTTTGCGACAGTGAACAGTATCCAGAGAACATGTAGAAATAATTTTATGTCATACACTCATTAATATACACATGGCGTGTCAGGTGACACGAAGGATTCAGGGGAAGGTATGGTTGCAAAATGAAAAGGGGGTTTAATAAACTCACAGGACAAATACTGGAAATAAACAGAACCGTGGGTGATCAAAACAGGAGGACTGGAAATTAGGATGGGCAAAGGCCACAGGATGATATGATGTCAATAACCTGACATTGACAATGACCCTGAGAATATGCATGGCCCTCTCTGTGAGCCACTAAACATTACTTGGGTCTGAAATAAATGTATATATATTAGGGCTGTCAAAATTAACGGGTTAACACGGATTAATTCATTATCATGATTAATCTGATTTAAAAAAAATTACGCAATTAACCCATCTCCAGCGCAGAATGACTCAAAATCCATGAAATGTCTTTGTCAACCCATTTCGGGCAGTTTTGGTGCGTTCCATTTGCCGTGGGAGGCTGGGAACTTGTATTCCGAGTCGGATTCCGAGTTTTGAAGCCGGATGTGACGACATGCGCACTCCTGTTTCTCGGAGACCAGAGAAATGTCTTGGAGCAGCACAGAGGATCCAAGATGGCTGCGCCTTTTATCAACAGAAGGGAAAGTTGTAGTTTTATACTGTTTAAGCCCTACTTCTCATTTGTGGCTCATTAAATCGGTCGCACACACTATACCGTCCAACTTATCTGTGGATGTGTTGCTACGGAGTTTTATACGTAAAGCACCGCGCGTAATGTGTTATAAACTGATATTGCTAACAATGGCAATTAACTGGGCTAGAATCAGATTTCATGATTAGTTGGATTATTTGCCAGATTTACTGTAGTTCGGGCTAATTGTAAGTGAACGAAAATAAAGACCATTTAAACTGAGGTACCTTAAATCCGATAAGTTGTCCGGCTAACCAGAAAATCTTGCTTTTTGATATGGGTCCTTGGTATTGCACTTCTGTGGCAGATGGATTGCATCCGACTCGTATTCAAGATGTTCAATGAACATATTAAGTGCATATACATTCCCTTTTTTCTTGAGTCTGTTTGCTCAAGCAAAATGAAATGTGATTAATATAGATTAAAAATGAATTATATTTAATCGTGATTAATCTAAATTAATCCTCAGCAACCCTGTGATTAATCTTATTAAAACTTTTAATCGTTTGACAGCACTAATATATATATATATATATATATATATATATATATATACATATATATATATATATATTATTGACATTTATATATGTGTCCTAATATTTTGTGTTATAATGACAGAAACAAAATAATCAAGCATGTGAACCGACAGTCTAAACAAGAAATCAGAGTAAGTTACATATTTGTAAAAACTATAAAATGTAACTGCATAGCGTTGCATAAATAACATCAACTTTCAAAAATTTCTTTTGCTTCTTAATCATGCCAATCCAGTGTAAGTAATATTTGGAGGACATTAAGGTCAAATTTATCTGCCCTCCCCCCCCCCCCCTAACAGAACAACTGGCCCCAATCTGCCCCCTTCCAGTTGAAATGGTCTAGAACCTCCACTGGGAAGAAACAGGTGCTTATATATCAGGCGTGGCCCATCAGGCATGGCCCCTCAGGCGTGGCCCATCAGGCATGGCTCATCAGGCATGGCCCATCAGGCATGGCCCTTCAGGCGTGGCTCATCAGGCATAGCCCATCAGGCTTGGCCCCTCAGGCGTGGCCCATCAGGCTTGGCCCATCAGGCGTGGCCCCTCAGGCATGGCTCATCAGGCGTGGCCCATCAGGTGTGGCTCATCAGGCATGGCCCATCAGGGGCGGCCCTTCAGGCGTGGCCCATCAGGCATGGCCCTTCAGGCGTGGCTCATCAGGCATGGCCCATCAGGCATGGCCCCTCAGGCGTGGCCCATCAGGGGCGGCCCTTCAGGCATGGCCCATCAGGTGTGGCTCATCAGGCATGGCCCCTTAGGGGCGGCCCTTCAGGCATGGCCCATCAGGCGTGGCCCCTCAGGCATGGTCCATAAGGCGTGGCCCCTTAGGCGTGGCCCATCAGGCATGGCCCCTCAGGCATGGCCCATCAGGCGTGGCTCATCAGGGGCGCCCCCTTAAACATACATGGTACTCCCACAATATTGGTAGGAGACATGTCCCAAACATCCATACCCTAAGCCCTTGTGTACAACTGTGGTGAGCAGAACAGCATCTCAGAATGATGACTCTTGACTTCTACTCAGGCACATAAAGGACCCAATGGTGACTTCATAAAGTCATAAATAAAACATCTATCTTCTTCTTCCAGGAGGAAGAGCTGGAACAACAGAGCCGTGGGTTCTACTTCCATGGTTATGGACTGGGTCACTGCCTCCAGGGAGTAGATAGCACAGCTCTGGAAGGTTCCACAGTCTGCACCACACCTCCACCTATTCCCACGGTGTATGACAGCGATGACATCTGCAAGATGTTTGTGGACCGTGCCAAGAGGATTGATACCATATCTAGGGCTGTCTTTCCAGTTAGCTTTCTCATTTTTAACGTCTTCTACTGGATGACCTACAAAGTGCTTCGAAGTGAAGACATCCACACCTCTTTGTAAGACGCTGCACATGACACCATATGCAGATACATCAGGACATCAAAGACACTGTTTTTAAAATGGTATCTGTTATAAAACAAAACACATGATCATTACTATTTTATAGTGTCTATTTACATTTCCTCTCATGTTTCCATCACATTTACAGTCAGAGGTATCTGCTGTTTCTTTGCACATACTCTGTGCTTATACTTTAAACCACGTTAAAAATGTTTGGTCAAATATGGCATTTGCAGAGGAATGCTTGGATAGGCCATATTAACTTAACATTAATACAGACCATGCATTTCATTGAATGATTTAGTATACTGCTAAATATTTGTTAATTATTTTATGGAAACTCGGGGATACTGATTTCTAAATATTTATAGCATGTAAATATGTGAACAGCAACCATTAGAAGAAAACACAGATTTTTGCCCAGTTTGATCAAATATTCAGCAATGATTATTTCTTTATTTATTTCATCCACTTATTGTATATGAAGATTAAAATATGTCTTAACTTACGTTCTACACGTAAAATTTACTAAGGCCCCTCTTGCTAGCCAGCAATGTATCAATATATGTACAAGTATATTTATATTTTCATGCATAAATTGACTTGTTTCGTTTGAATAACTCAAATTATTTTGTTTTCGTTTTGTTAACATAAAAATGCATGAGAAAATCTGGGAGGCACACATGGGACAGAGTATCTGTGTAATTGCACAAATTATTTTCATATAATTTCTAAATAAAAAATACAATGTATCCATGCTGAATCCAGCCATTTATCACTCATTTTAAAGAATACACTTTCACGATGATGTTTTCGTGATATATTTTCCAAGGTGAATCATCGTAACATTTTGTCATAATGCTTGTTTTGGCATTCTCCTATTCATAGATTAAATATAGTGATATATGTGTCTTGAGGAATTGTTCTGTTTGATTTCATTTGATTTCCATTTGACTTTTGTGCAAACTACCTTCTCATTACATTTAAATTCAGCTATAACCAGCAGGGGATCATCTATAATTGAAATTCTTCCCACCATACATATATACAATAACTGTATATAACTATTAGCAGTGCTGTACTCATCCTGCTATGCTACCTGCTATGCTGTCTGCTATACTGCCTGCTATACTGCCTGCTATGCTGCCTGCTATACTGTCTGCTATACTGCCTGCTATACTGCCTGCTATGCTGCCTGCTATACTGTCTGCTATACTGCCTGCTATACTGCCTGCTATGCTGTCTGCTATACTGCCTGCTATGCTGCCTGCTATGCTGTCTGCTATACTGCTTGCTATGCTACCTGCTATGCTGCCTGCTTATACTGCCTGCTATGCTGTCTGCTATGCTGTCTGCTATACTGCTTGCTATGCTACCTGCTATGCTGCCTGCTTATACTGCCTGCTATGCTGTCTGCTATGCTGTCTGCTAT